CGTTGATTTATGGTACACGTGAATTATCTCAGGAAAGATTCTTGTTGGGAAGGAGTCCCTCCGGGGCTTTTACGCCATATAACGGGGAAAATGTAACAATCACTCAATCATTAAATAAATTAAATAACGGTGAACTGTCTAGGACGTCTGGAACCGAGAAACCAAATACTTTATCGCGAAACGAGGATGTGATCGATTTAGCCGAAAAGGACCCCGTCGAATACGTTTTCAGGAAGTTTATAATCCAAACGTGAAATACTCAATCGTTAGGTATAGGAAACCCGATCACGGAACAACTTAATCGTCAGGTCGATGAGCTTATTGGTAGTTCAATCAAATTAACGGTGACACGTTTAACGCCCAAAGGCGAATTAATAACGGAAGAAAAATTCCTAACTAAAAAGGAATGTCAACGAATGACTAGGAACAGGAACGAGTCACCCTATCCGGAAAATTTTAATCTTGCTTATCGTCACCGGTGCGAAAACCGTTCCATATCCCACCTAAGAAGGGGGTTTTATCGTGGCGGAGTGCGGTGAGTCGAGTGATAGCGAAGATGGTACGCCGCGTTACGTCGAGCGTTATGACTCGCCAATGGGACGCGACTTTCTCTCAACAGCTAGGTACCACGAAAGAACGCTCAATTCACCACCCATGGTAATATACGAGCGAGGACTCGACTCCATCATGAAAATCCGACGAATAGTCAGTAATTGAAAAATTACATTCCCTAAAACCGAGAAAGATCCTGAACAATTCTTGCTTATCTTGAAAGATCAGCTGAGTGCGAGCGGTATAAGTAGAGATTTGTTCGTTCCTTGATTATCAAATATTTTTGAATGCCTCTACAGAGCTTGGTATTTACTGAATAAACAGCATTGAAAGACATGGAAAGATTTCACACGAGCTTTCCGTTTCCAATGGGGGATAAAAAAAGAAGACGGTGTTCTTTTCTTAGAAGTACGTGATTTAAAACTTGAAAACGTTAGCTGAATTTGCTTGTCAAGCGCGCTTGATTTTCGAAAGAATGCAACACCCTCCACTTTTTCGGGAGCAATTAAAACAAATTCAATCCACGATTAACTTTTGA